TGGCCTCTGAAGGCACATGCACTGAGGTGCCCATACCCGCACACATAAATATACAATTTTGTTTTATGTTTACTTTATTTATTTTTATTTTTGCTGGGCAGGAAGGCACATGCCTTTAATCCCAACATTTGGGAGGTAGAGTCAGGCTAAATAGTGAGAACTATTTTTTTTTTAATTTTTTTTTCAAATTTTTTTTTAATTTAAAAATATATATAATCAACAATAAGGAAAATTTAGTCTGCACATATAATGAAATGCTAAGTTTTTAAAAGTGAAATCCAGTCATCGAAGGATAGATATTGCTGCACGCAGCAAGCTCATGGAATCTGAAAGTCACGCTTACAGAAGCAGAGAACAGAATGGTGGTTGCCAAGGGCACACGGGGTGGGGAGCGAGATTGTTAGTCAAAGGTACCAAACTGTAGATGGGGTGAACACGTTCTAGAGACCTACTGTACAGTATGGCAACTACAGGCAGAATAATACACTGTGAGCTGGTAAGCGGATAAGAAACATTTTTTTTCAGGATTTACTTATTTTTTTCAAATGTGCTTCCATGTCTGTATATGTACCACATGTGTGCATCACTCATGGAAGCCAAAAGAGGGCGCCAGATTCCCCGGAACTGGAGCAACAGATGGCTGCATGTGGGTTCTGGGAACCAATTCTGAGTCCTCTGCAAGAGCAGCGAGTGCTCTTCACCACTGAGCCATCTCTCCAGCCCCAAGAGAGTCAATCATAAATGCTCTTCTCTCTCCTCTCTCTCTCTCTCTCTCTCTCTCTCTCTCTCTCTCTCTCTCTCTCTCTCTCTCACACACACACACACACACACACACACACACACACACACGCACACACACACACAAATAAGCAACTCTTTAGCTTGTGGTGTTATTTCGTACTGTACATATATATTAAAACATCACTGTATAATGTAATCCATACTTTTTCTTTCCGATACTTGTCAATCATACCTCTCTAACTGAACTGGAAAAACAAGTGAAACTGTAAAGAGTAAAAGAGAAATATCAAAATAGAAGGGGAAAGGAACCCCAGCAGTTCCCTAATTTATAGTCTTAACATTCTGCTTCTCCTCGGCCACTTGCTGCAAAAACCCACACCAACACCCTAAATGGCAAAGGAGCAGGGAACGGGGTGCAAGTGGAGCGGGGTAAGAAGGGGTAAGTAGCGACACTGCCACCCAGAGTCAGAGAGAACAGTGGCTTCTGCCAGGCGGGATCCTGACCCTGAACTCTGGACCCCCTCACCCACAGCAGCTGACCCACAGCAGCTGACCCACAGCAGCTGCCCTACTGGCGCTCGCTCCCCATCTCACACTCCAGGAACTGGAGCAGAGTGCCAGCATTCCTCTCACACGGGCACCCTCTCGATGCCAGGCTGCAACCAGAGCTCACAGGGGCCAAACTTCATCCTTCACACAGGACCGTCACCAGCAGGAGGAGCCACAGGCAGGAGGAGCCACGGGGGGGGGGGGGGGGGGGGGGGATTAGACAGACCAAGGTCCTAAATCTTAAGTAACAGGGGAGCAGGGGCCATGTGCCACCCCTGCTCTCACTGACAGAGCCTTTTTATTTTGTTTTGTTTTTTGTTCTTTCAGACGGGGTTTCTCTGTGTAGCTTTGGAGTCTGTTCTGGAACTCACTCTGTAGCCCAGGCTGGCCTCGAACTCACAGAGATCTGCCTGCCCCTGCTTCCCGAGTGCTGGGACTAAAGGTGTGCGCCACCACCGCCCGGCTTCCTTTCTCCTTTTGTCTAGTTTTTTGAGATAAAAATCTCATGCAGCTGAAGCTGGCCTTGAATCCCTGATCCTCCTGCTTCAGCCTTCCCAGTGTTGGGAGTACAGGCCTGTGCCAGGTGCCCAACTTCCTTGCCAGGTTTTGGTTTTGTTTTTCGAGACAAGGTTTCTCTGTGTAGCCTTTGGCTGTCCTGGAACTCTCTTTGTAGACTAGGTTGACCTCAAACTCAGAGATTGACCTGCCTCTGCCTCCTGAGTGCTAGAGTTAAAGGCCTATGTCACCACCACCCAGTTCCTTTCCAGTTTTAAAGCAGTAATTTCCAAATAGATACCTAAGTCCTTGAGAACAGGTGTGTGCGCGGCAAAAAGTTCTGGTTTGGGCCAAATCCCCTTACCTGTCAAACTATCAGAGGGAAGGAAAAAACAGATCTAAAACAAAAGTTGCTTTTCTCTGCCTCTCCTCAACCTTATCATGTACAAATTCAACTCAAGCCCTCCGGGGTTTTTGGTGGTGTTGTTTTGTTTTGTTTTTTAAGAAAATAAGAAGCTGGGCAGTGGTGGCAGACACCTTTAATCCCAGCACTCGGGAGGCAGAGGCAAGTGGATCTCTTGAGGCCAGCCTGGTCTACAAAGTGAGTTCCAGCACAACCAAGACTATACAGAGAAACCCTGTCTGGAAAAAGCTACACATGCACACACACACACATGCACACACATCTCTGAAATGTAAGGTAACTTCAGACCCTAGGAGCTGGGAGTGTTCTGAGGCAAGCTAATTAAGCTGCCACATTTTGCACATGAAACCTAAGGAAAGCTGATGAAGTGACTGGGAACAAGGAGTGCTGTTGACCAGAAGAAGGTCCACAGGGGTCTCAGTTGTCAAGCGCCGACACAGGGTGTCCATCTGGTGGTCCCTGTGCTCTCTGAGATACAGGGAGGCTGTGGCCAGCTGAGCTCCACGGAGACTGCTAACCACACCGTGGTCTGAAACGAGTCTGTGGTCAGAGTCCTCACTCAGGGTTCAGCTCAAAACCACATGAATTCACAGCTAGCACTTCTCGATTACCTGAACCCCAAGAGTTCAGGCTGAGGACCTAGGGCCTGGCAGGACAAATTCTTTTTTCTGAGCTAGGCTAGACAGTCCTCAGTCCTCTGGTCTCTCACCTCCAAAGACCTGGACTATTAATAAGAGCTCCATGACACAACGGATACCTGGTATGACAACAGTCGAACAGCCAGCTGGGCATGGTGGCTCATGCCTGTAATCTCAGCATTCTGGAGGTGGAGCCAGGACTGTCTGTCACAAGTGGTACAGAGTGCAAGTTCCAGGCCAGCCTGGGCTAGAGTGAGAGTCTGTCTCAAAAAAAAAAAAAAAACCCCACAAGAAAAAACAAAAGCCGTACTGAACAGCCATAAAAACACCAAGTGACTGTGCTTTAGTAGTTATTTCTATTAATACTCCACATTCACACTCGATAATGAAGTGGTTTTACGACATTCAACTGCCCTAAAATTAGGCTGCCCTTGGGACAGATCCAGATTCCCGACACTCTGCATTACACGCCTCCTAATCTCTGAGCCCTGGACTGGGGAGGTTAGAACTACAGCCCTCGCCACAGGTGCTGTTCCTGGGAGCTTGAGGGGTGCCCAGCACCAGACAGCAAGCAGCTCCCCAGTCCCCCATCACAGGCTGTGAGCCATGCACATCCCAGGGACAGAGTCACTTCCCTTGGCATCTTGGCTCTCCACCTATTAATATTTCAGAGTTTGGATCTGGCTGCATGAGTCACTGGCACCACTAGGCATTTTGAAAAGGAAGGAAGCAATGACTGCTACAAGACCAAGCAGCCAGAGTTCACCGATGTCGCAATGTTGTGTCTAGGTCACAGAGACTGGCACAATTGGCCCGGCCAGCAGTCTCATCTTTTCTTGGTCATTTACAGCCAATAGTCTCAGCTCAGCTTCAACTCTCTGAAGCTCTAACTTCAAGTCACATTCGGGGTTTATTACAAAAGATGATCTAAAAATACGCTCTCCTTCCAAAACTCATTGACTCAGCCCCCTCTCTCATCAATCATCTCCAGGCAGTCCATGTCCGGCCTATCGTTTGTCCAAGACGTGTGAAGTGTTTTTCCTAATCCAACCCTTCCGGCCCGGCCCCTCCAGAGCCAACAGCTCAAGGCAGCCCTCTGGCCTAACTTTCTGCAGGACCCTCCAGACCACCTCTGCTCTAGCCAGCCCCTCTCACGTCTGCCCACCCTGAACTTCCAAAGTTGGATAACTACTACTGAAGCAGACAGTCAGCGGCTGCAATTGCCTGACTCAAAACATTCCATGAGATAACGGAAGTGAGTAAAAGCCGGTACCAAATTAGCATGACCCTTCCGGCTTGAAGGTGGCGAAACACTGGGGTGTTTCTCCCCACCTGAACTGTGCTCTTCATATTTGTCATATAAGACACAGGGTTTCCAGCAGGGAATCCAGCAGCTAAATAGTCATGTCTAAAGATAGCCCCACACAATTCAAGTGTGTCCTAGCAAGATGCTACCTCAGTACGTCCTATCTTCAGACTGTCTTTCTGAACATCAGAAATCTACCAAAGACCCCAACACCAGCTTTATGGATAGGACTTTGCATTTTTTTTTTTATTGATTGATTGGTTGGTTGGGGTCTCATAGGCCTGGATACCTTCAAAGTCACTATGTAACCAAGGCTGGCCTCAAACTCTGGATCTAGTACCTTCCATTTTTGAAACAGTAATTCATACAATGTTATACTATGTAGCTATAAAAAAGAATGGAGACTCTGATATGAAGTTTACCCCCAATGTATGGCTAAGTTAACAATAAAAAGCAACTGGGCAGTGGTGACACATGCCTTTAATCTCAGCACTTGGGAGGCAGAGGCAGGCAGATCTCTGAGTTCGAGGAGAGCCTGGACTACAGAATGAGTTCCAGGACAGCCAGGGCTGTGTAGAGAAACCCTGTCTCAAAAAATAAATAAATAATATAATATAATATAATAAAATAAAACAAGATACAGAAGTATATTTAATGCTGCTTTTGAATAAAAACAGAGGATGGGTAAGTATAACATGTTATAGAAACACTGATGTATAAGGATCTAACAGGGACCATCCATGTAGGACAGGGGCCATCAGGGGACTATCCTGGGCTAACTGGGTGATGAGAAAAGACAGGCATCTTCTCATCTTATCCCTCTTATACTCAGAAAAAACTATGTGAGGTGCTCACCTTGACAGCACATACACTAGAATGGAACCATACAGGGATGATTGGCATGGCCTCTGTACACGGATGGCTCACAGATACAGGAAGAGTTCCGTATTAGAGCAGAAAAGAGAAATTATGTGAGTGTACGACGTACTCAAAACCAGGGGAGGCAACTGGGGTTGGCTCAGCAAGTAAAATGTTTCGCTGCACAAACCTAATGACCTGAACTCAATCCCCAGACAAACGTAAACAAGCTGGATGTGGTGGCTCCCATCTGTAAGCCCAGCACTCCCAGCGTGAGACAGGAGGCAGAGACAGAATGCTCAGAAGCTCATGGGCCTCCAGCACCTCCAGTACACGCCGTGGCAGGAACCAGAGAGGTGCTGCCTTAACAAGGCAGAGAGAGCTGACTCCTGAAAGTCACCCTCTCATCTCCATACATACATCCTGGCGTGCACACGCACACTTTAATAAACGGAGAGCAGAGGCCATAGAGGTGGCTCGGTGGTGATAGCATTTGTTATGCAAGCACGAGGACATGTGTTCGAAACCCCAGAACCCACATAAAAGCTGAGCACAGCCACACACGCTTGCTGAAACCCCAGCACTGGGAGGCAGAGGCAGGCAGCCAGCTCAGTCAAAAAGTGACCTTCAGGTTCAGTGAGAACCAGCCTCACTGAGAAGGAAGTCAGATAGACAGATGGCAGTGGGGGAAGATACCCAACGTCGTCCTCTGGCCTCTCTCTACACGTATGCTCACTGGCATGCATACATACACACACACACACACACACACACATGCACGCACACGCACGTGCACCCCTGTGCACACATACACCATGTTTTTTAAATAAAAAAGATTTTTTAACAATTATATTACTTTTAATTGCGTGTATGGATCTGTATGTGGGTGTGTGCACATGCATGCTGTTGCCCTCAGAAGCCAAAAACATCGGATCCCTTGGAGCTGGAGTTACAGGGAGTTGTAAGCCACCTCGTGTGGATGCTGGGAATCAAACTAGGGTCCTCAGCAAGAGCAGCGTGTGCTCTTAACCCGGGAGCCGGCTCAGCTAAGGCAGTCGAGGCTGGGGATGTGGCTACTTGGTACAGTGTTAAACCCAGGGCTTTAAACCCGAATCTAACGATCCAGCACTGCAAAAATGGGAGTATTTAGCTCAGCGCCCAGGAGGTGGAGGCAGGGATGAATTCAAGGACCTGAGAGCTTGAGGCCAGCCTGGGATGAATATGTCCTTGTCTCAAAAAGAGAAAGAAACAAGGAGGCAACCAGTTACCCCTAGAACGTTCCTCCCCAAACTTAAAACTCAGCCTAATCAAGAGAAAAAACATCAGTGTCGACAAACAGGAGCAATGTCTGGAAAATAAACAAACAGCACTCTAAACTGTCAGAACCAACTAAAGCAAGGACAGACTGAACCATCACAGCCAAGAGGTGCCCAAGACAGCATGACAGTTCCATGCAATGTGGTACCCCAAATGGGATCCCAGAACAGAAAAGGGTAAAAACCCAGTCTGAGCAGTGTGGACCTTGGCTAATCAGAGTGTGTCAATATGGTTCACCCATTGTGACAAACACCCAGCACTAATTAACGTAATACACTGATAATGTAAGATACTGATAACAGGGAAACTGGGTGTGACGATTCAAAATGTCTAGATTTTCTAAGGTTTTAAAGCCATGGGAAAGGAAGGTCATGATGAGGGTCACCCAGCCTCCCCAGCACACACAGTTCAGGAGTTGAAGCAAGCCACCGGCCTTTATCATGGATTCCAGCTCAATGAATCTTGACACCTTGTGATGTGGTCCCCCTCCCCCAGAATGCTCCCTCCTAACAGCAGCTGCCCATGGAGACCCTGACTTCAAAGAGAGGCCTAGGAGGGGGAGGGGCGGTTGAGAGACATGGAGGAGGGACAGGTGAGGACAGTCAATGGAGTAAAATGCCGGAGGGAAATCAAGGAAGGAAAAAGGACTCGGAGAACCAAGCGGCTGCTGGGGCCCATGGACTGAACGGGAGACACCATGACGAGGCCTGTGGGGGTGAAGGAAGCAGCCGGACAGTAGCTACCTGGAAGACGGTCCAGGCAGGAGGCAGCATGACCAGGGGGACCGTGGGAAGTCTGTGAGGAGCCGGTGGTGAGAGGAGGCAGGAGGCCACGGGGCTTCCAGCAGGACCGGAAGCCTGTAAGGCTCCAAGCCGATGGATGTGACCTGAGCAGTTTCAACAGGATTACTCTGACTGGGGGATGGAGAGTAAACCAAAGGGGTCGGATGGGTGCCGAAGTGGCTTTGCCAGAGACAGGGAACACATCTGAACAGTTCTGGCTGCCAAGGGATCCCGGGAGGCCGGCCCCATGCTGCAGCACCCGGCCTCCTGGGAGAGTCAGCTGGAAGCCCTGAAGCAGCTCTTCCGGACCCAGACCCGCACCCTATCAAAGCAAAAAGAATCCTCACCAACAAATGGGTGCCTGTCGCCCTGTAATGCAGAGGTTCCCAACCATCCTAAGGCTACGACCCTTTAATACAGTCCCTCAGGTTGTGGTGACCCCACACACAACCACAAAATTATTTTCGCTGCTACTTCACAACTGTAATTTTTGCTACTGTTGTGAATCATTATGTAAAATCTCTGTGTTTTCCAATGGTCTGAGGCGACCCTTTTGTAAAAGGGTCCTGCGCCCCACCAGGGGGTCGTGACCCACAGGTTGAGAACCGCCGCTTCAAAGCCACCCAATTTCCCCCTACTGGAGAAAAGGAAAACACACCAGGCGCCCTTAGGCTCTCCAAAGCTCTCAGCCAGCCAACTGAAAACACCTGTGTAAAGACCCCAGCCCACAGCTCCAGCAGCACACGGCCTCGGAAAGCCACCCTATCATTTAAGTACTGTGTGTAATTAACCCCCATTGCTGATCTTGTTAGGACTTAAAACTTGTTAAGCCATTTCCATGACCAGGCTGAAGAAGAAAAAGTTGTTACTGGGGCCAGGCAGGCACAAAGGGCGATTTGCCAAGCTACTTCGATATGTTAATTCCTCGTTGCCGCAGTAGCTAAATAAGCATGGAGAAACAAGCAAGGCGGAATACTAATTAGAGCTAATTAGACCCTGCCCTCTTCTGCCTCAGTCCCCTTGGTGAAAAGCCCCCCCTGACTGAGGATGGTGGAGTTAAAATGTAAATCCCAGAGGGTAAATAGTTGTCTATGAACCGAGGCCACCCTTCGCATTTCCGTGTCCTGGGCCCGGTTACCTAAAGGGAGCTGCCAATCCAGCCAAATTCCAGCAGCCCCGCCCCCACCCCAGCATCCGCCCACAGCCGCGGTGGGCCAGGGACAGACAGGGTGAGGAGGACCGGGGCTGCCAACTTGCATTCTCTAAATGCAACAAAGGTCTCTTGGTATTCGGAGCATTCTAATTTGCAGGGCCACCCGCTAAAAGAACATTTGATTGCTTATAAAATAATAACCACGGCAGCAATCATGACTCCGGTCATGCAGCGGGGGTGAGACCAAACTCCCCTCTCTGCCTTAGAGCGGAAGTGGGCATGGGAGGCCTCCTCAGTGCAACCCTTCCCTGGGTTTGTGAGATCTTGTGTGTCGGGTTCCAGCCTGGAGTCTCTTGGTCCCAGGAATAATTAAGGAGATACTCCTGGTGGGGGCGAGGGTGGGGCGGCACAGCAAAGGCTTATTATCACAGTGAGCCCCTTAAACTTAAGGTCTGTTGCCTGCCGGATTCACTCGCTGGTCTAGGAACACGCATCTGGGCACTAAACTTCACAACACCATCTCTTTCCCGAGGGAACTATGATTATCCTTTCTAAATTATGTTCCCGTCAGCGAGAGAAACCAACAGGAGAAAGTTCCTGCCACCTTTCAAGAAAAAAAGGGGGTGGGTGGGGGTGGCGGGACAGGAAACAAAGGACGAAGGTGGGTCAGCAACCCTGGGAAGCTAAGTCGAATTACCCAAAATGAGCCGCTCCTTCTGACCTTGCAAAGCGCCGGCCAGGGCACTCTAAGAAGGAGGCAGCCCACCCTGGAGGCTGGTGATCTACCACCATTTTACTGACTTTGGGGGGCGGGCGAAAGACAAACACCTGTGATCACAGGACAATGGACAAAACTTCACTCTGAAGGCACGAAGTAAACCGCCCAGGCTCCAAGATAAGGTACAATGACCAAGCAGCCCTGGGCCTAGACTCAGCACTCACACCCTGAAGCCAGAGGGAAAGGCATGTGGCCTTCCAGGGCCCGTCTCTGGGATGAAAATCCTGTTCGGAGGCACGGGAACGTCCCAAAGAGAAGAAATTACATGCAAGTGAAAAACCCAAGGCCTCTAATAATCTGAAGGGTACCTCAAGGGGTGGGGCGCTCCTTTAATTCCAACACTTGGGAAGTAAGGGCAAATGGGTCTCTGTAAACTGGAGACCAGCCTGGTTTACATAGAGTTATAGGCCAGGTGGGATACATTAAAAAAAAAAAAAAAAAAGCAAAAACCTAGTCGGGGAGCTATTGGCCAGAGATAACTGCTGGGAGTGGAGTTTTCTCTAGGACTGTAGACCCAGGTAAACAGAGCAGAATCAAGTTGAAGACCACAGGGTCAAGGGTATTTAGGCAGCACAAACTGGTCTCCTTGTGTTTTTTTTAAATGGACACAAAGTTGGGCGGGTAGCGAAGGAAGGTGAATCTGGGAAGAGTTGGGGGAGGGGAAGTAAATAAGATAAGACAGGCTGCTGGAAACTCAAAGATTCAAGTCTTTGCCATGGCAAATGTTTGGAGTTTTCATGAGAATCAAAGAACGTCTAACTGGGAGGAAACTAAAGCCTCTCCCAAACTTGAATTTCGCGAAACTAATGTAAGGTGGCTGTGTGTTTATTCTGACAAAAAATTTTAAAACACCATCACCAAAAAAAAAAAAAAAAAAAGAAGAAAAGAAAAAAAATGTCCACCGAACAATAAAAAGAGCATAAACTTCAAACTAAAAGACTGTCCTAAAGTGAAGTCAGTTGACAAGGATATATTCCAGAGGGTGGTGATTCAAGCTACATCTCTTTGCGTTTCCCTGGGGACTCGTGAACACCAAAGATGGGCACTCGTTGCCAGATTGGGGGG